AAAAAGTAACTTTTTCCATATTAACAAATTTTCTTTTTTAAAGGTTTCCACAATAAGGCCTGGGAAGTTTGCACTCTCTGAATATTTGGTGCTAGCAAAGCTGACACTATTGTACACCAAAAAGGAAGTTGTGAGTACTACTGGGCTTGTCATGAAAAGAAAGTGTAATACAGTCAGCATACATAATTTTAATGTACACACGTTTCTTTTTACAGAACGTAAGGCAACTTAAACCTCACACCAATCCAAGGAGGCATGATCCTCAACTTGCATCCCAGCCTGCTGAAAGGACACAAAGAAGAGGAAATGAATTTAAGGTGAAGTAAACGTCAAGCTCTCCTTCCATAGTTTACTTTCTTATGGGAGGCACAAAGGATTAAGATCATGTGCACTTCGCCTTGAGAAATATTCTGGTGCCATATATTCCCAATGGAATTTTTTGAGTTTTGGATGCAAGTTATCCCATGCAGACTGATTGAAGGATATAGGGATGGTGAGCAGGCCCTTCTTGCTCCACACCACAAAGTCACAGGTTGATACTCCCGTCATGGCCAGCTCCATTTGTACTTGGTCATAATAGATGGTGTTCTCTTTTAGTGTAATCTCTCCCTTCACATTTCTTTTAAGATAAAAGGAATTTAGTCTTTTACCCTTAAGGTAGGAATCAAAGTAGTGAGGATCAACATCTTGAAGGGAAAATGGACATTTAATCTCTAAAACTTTCTTGACCCTCCCATTTATTTTAACCCAGCCATCATGGCTGCAGGACAGACCTGGGTATTCAGTATTCAGATTTGAGCCTCCTGCCACAATCTCAATGTCGGGGTACTTTTCCTTCTGCTCTTGGTGGTATTCATTTCGGGCTATTGGTTCATATGTTTTTCCATATCTCATTCCTTCTGACTCTCCAGTTGTCATATTCCACATCTGGTCCTTGAGGAAGTTTTTCTTTGCTGTTTCTGACCTGAAATGTGCTATCCTGTGACAAACAGATGATGTGCAAGTAATGCTACGGATAAATCTGTACAATGGGCTGGAAAATTGTTCAGTTGTTCCGTTCAGCTCAAATGGTCCATAGTGGTGTTGAGGGTTTAACTGATGCAAGTATTCGTATAATTCTCTCCGTAGATATTGTAAAATCTTTAAGTCAGTGTCATCATATGTGAAGTCTTCGTATGTTCTCTGAAGTATTCCCTGGAAAGCACAGGGCGTTTCTTTCGTCTCCTTGAGTGCTCTTAAGAAGTCGTTCAACGCTTTTGTTGTGGGCGCCTTTCTGTATTCTGTCGGTCTCGGGTCGAATTTGTTCCTTCTGATGACGTCTAGTTTGAAGGAGTCATATTGCCGACCAGCAGCTACAGTAGGATTTCTTTTCAGGGAACCTTGGTTCCACACGCAAGGCTTGGAAGTACAGGTGATAGCTGTGGGGAAAGGAAAGACAACTATAAAATGCAATAATTGATATTGTTTTACACTGACCCTTGACCTTTTGCTATTTCTTTTTCTATTAAAAATGGTTTTTGTGAATTATGTAATGGTGTTTGTATATACTTAAATCTGTAAACCGTAAATTTTGGAGTCAAATATTTTACAAGGAGCAAATTATTTTAGTATTTTTATTTTTCGGATTACTTTTGCAAACTTTTACACTAAGTTTTTCATTACCTCTCATTTTATTATTACAGATAATTGGTTTCCCTAACTTGGACATGGTGGATCCCGAGCCAATGAGAAAGCAAATGTCAACGCAAACTCCAGTGGTAAGAATATCTGAGGCACTTATGTATTAATGACTGCTACCGCTACCCTGCATATGCTGTGTTGTAATATTTCTTTCTTTTCATATTATTAGAAAAGTCACTGTGATGCATCAACACAGACAGGAGAAGGTAAACCATTAAGGAAGCCTGACCGAAAGCATGATCCTCAACTAAACCTTCATCCTATATGTGGACCTACCCCTAAAAAGAAGCAAATGATTTCATTTGATTCCTGCAAGACTGATCCCAGGTTCAAGTTTTTCACAGGACTTAGTGTAGAAGATTTTGACGCCCTCTTCAATCTGATAGGTGGTGATGATGTTATAAGACATCTGAAAATGAAGTATAGCGAGACTACTCCTACTAAAGCTATTCAGACAGTCCTCTCAAGTAAGGATAGATTGTTCATGCTCCTCCTTCGGCTCAGAAGAGGGTACCCTGGTGAGGAAATTGCATTCCTCTTTGGCATTGAATCATCTTATGCTTTGGAAATATGCTATGTGATGACACAACTTATTTACCTAACATTCAAGTCAATGGAGAAAACTATGTTCCAATCAGTTGCTAGTCAGAAGAAAAATACGCCCAAAGTCATGCGTCCCTTCAAGAACTTAAGAGTTATTTTAGATGGGATGTCCTTATACACACAGACCCCATCAAATTTTGAACAGCAAGGGAACACATACTCCCCGTACAAAGGTCGTAATGTTTTTCTATTTGCAATTGGCATTTCTAGGCATGGGGCAACAATCTTCTGTAGTGATGGGTTTGAAGGCAGCATGTCGGATAAGGAAACCATTATACAGAGTGGACTCATTGATATGCTGGAAAAAGGTGATGGTGTGATGACAGATAGAGGCTACGAACTCACTGCAGAGCTGCAGGCGAAAGGATGCCATTTCTACAAGCCTCCTTCTCTTGGAAACCGCAAAGCCTTTACGCCAGAAGAAGAAACTCTCACAAAGGCTATAGCTGCAGCCAGGATTTATGTTGAACATGCTATTGCCGACATCAAGGATTGGAAAATTTTGGATGGCACTCTACCGCTCAATATGATTGCACAATGGTCCAACATTGTGTACATTTTAGCTTTCTTCAGAAACTTCAACTCAAATAGGATTAAAAATAAAAAGTTTACCCGCAAGGCCTCTGATGAATAAACAACAATTTGGTGATTTGTGTCAGAGAGTAAAGCACTTACTAAATATGTTTCTTTAAAATATATATTTCAAAAACTGTACAATTGCTGTATGTTAGTTGCAGACTACTTAAATAACAATGACCAGGTACAAACTACTGTGATAACATTGTGATATGATTTACATTCATGCAAGATAATATTTAAGTTAGTCTCATTATTGTCATAATTATAATATAGGGTAGTAAAATAGCATGCCATACATGTATTCAACAATTGATGAGTGATTAACTCCACAAATACTTTAACAAAAAATCTACCATGCAGTGGAAACAATTAAAATGATACTTATACAAATTCCCAATTTTTTCATTATCTCCAACTAATTTTTCAAATTTCCACCCACTACATTCTTCCCTAAAAAAAAAAAAAAAACTAAAAAGTTCAAACATTACATGCACAACGTTTAAAGCAAAGCAAAAACAGTTTCTGAAAGTAAACGTTTTGTCAATATCAGAATAATGAGTAATTAGTGCTTGTGAAGATGGCAGCAAGGGAACAAATGAGAGGGGGCAAAGGACAACAACAAGGTAAAAATTACCTTACAAATGATGAACGCCTACAATGAGGAACAAATGATGATCACCTACAAAAGTAGCCACATGAACGCTAACATAGCAAGTGACATAGCATGGATGTGAATGAAGTGCCAACAGACTGAAAATGAGGCACACCTAAATGGATCAGGAAAATGTGAAAAATCCTAGGAAAGTTCAGAGAAACAATGAACAAAGTATGGTGAAGGAAAACAACAAAGTAGAGTACACTTGAAACTTACTTCACCTAAAGAAAATGTAATTAGGTGCATAATCAATCTCCCACAAATGATTCTCTTACCACGAAGTAGGTGAAGGATGGTGGTGCAGAACGAGTGAAAAATGTGAAATGTATAAATGCAAAATGACATGATAAAATTATGGTAGACAGAATAATGGTGACTTATCATACGATTTCATTTGAAATAATACGTGACCAATAATAGTTCTTCTAGTTCACTTTCCTAGACACACATACTGAAAAGAATAAAAGACGTTAATTATAGAAATGGAGGTCTCACCTTTGTCGCCATTAAGATACTTGTGCTGCAAAATAAACAATAGCAATGCACTGGCATGGCTGCACCTGCCCAGCTGACTTGCTACACACTCACATTCGCATCTCAATATATTACCAGAAATCTGGGATATGGCTGCCTTTACCCAATATGCTTTCTTCTCCATTGAAGCTCTTATGTGACCCATGAAGAAATGGAAGCGATCTGGTAAACAATCTTTCATTCCTCTGACGTAACCACTTTTGAGGAACTGCAGCCCTCTCCTGATCTTCTTGCTGCTCATTACAGCTTTGTTATCAAGGTCCTCAAAAATGTCACCCAGTTCTATAACTTCCACATTTTCTTCATCATCCTCCTCACTGACAGACTCCTCTCCAGAATTTATAATAGAGGGGTCCTGGTATTGGGGCATACTCTCCACCAGGTAGTAATACACACTCCCAAAATTGTAACTCTGAGGTATGTCTCTACTTGGAAAAGGGTCCCATCCCGTTTCAGGAAATAGAGCCGAGTTCTGTAGTAGTGAGGCAGCCTGAGACATATTTTTTATGAAAGATTAAGATGCGAGAAAAAATGACACTACCAAGATGGAACACTGTAGCTGTTACTTCAATAATTACCTGCGTGGACATCATTTCTTTCTTTTTTTCATACCATTTACCACCCTCCACACTTGGATCTAATATTTTGTCCGCTCCTACATCCATACAGGCTTGAACTCTGTAAAGTATGAACCACAATACAGAAATGTGCCCTCACTTTAATTTTAAATCCGGATAATAATAGTTAATTACCTATTGACTAAATCATCTTTTCCAACACCACCCTGAGGAACACCCCTTAATTTAAGCCAATTGGCCAAGTCTTTTCTAGTGTTCCTGTGCACTTCATTGAAAGGCAAACCAGAGTTTGGAACATCCTTGCTAGTAAGCACAATGGGGTTGAAAGTATTAGCAGCATCTATAAGTGCCTGTTCATCGTGAATCTGTAAATATCAGGTCAACAATATGGCAGTTCAGAAATCATTACAGGAAAATGTAGAGGACAATTACAAAGTGTTCAATTTACCTCTTTGTCAATAGTATTGCTATGGTGAGCAAGGTCCGAAATAGTTTCGTCACCAGAAACAAGTTCAGGCTGAAGATGGCTGCATTCCCTCTAAAGACAGATAATTACTGATGATTAGATTAACATAGCTTGACAGTAGCCACAAGTACTAAAACAACTGGTACATACATCTGATTCATCGTCATAGAAAACTATTTGTTCAGGAAAGTATGGGTTGCTATCCCCATCCACTTCCTCCATAAAATCAATTTCAGAAATGAAATCAGGACACCCATCAGCTTCCTTTGAAAGATCACTTTGTGAAAATATATCATCTTCAAGAAATACTTCTGATTCTTGCTGCACAGAGTCCTAATTGGAGGAAAATGTACACCATTAGCACGGGTGGAAAAAACTGACCATACCAAAATAATAAATAAATTGAGAGTAGTTTACCTTCTGACTTAAACACTCAGTGTTTTTTTTAAAATGAAGTCTTAATGGCGAGACTTCTGCAGTTACAGTTGTGCTCTGGCTACAACGCTCTGTGGCACCTTTTAAATTAAGTCTCAAAGGTGAGACCTCTGCAGTAATAGTTGTGCTCTGGCTACAATACTCAGAGGGATCTTTTAAATTAAGTCTTAAAGGTGACACTTCTGCAGTAATAGTTGTGCTCTGGCTACAACGCTCTGTGGCACCTTTTAAATTAAGTCTCAAAGGTGAGACTTCTGCAGTAACAGTTGTGCTCTGGCTACAACACTCAGTGGCACGTTTTAAATTAAGTCTCAAAGGTG